ATGTGGTGGTACACCTTTGTAAGCCCAGAATTTGGGAGATAGAAGCAGGAAATCAGGCATTGGAGACCAGCCTCAACTATACAGCAAGTTCAAGGTAGGCTTGGATTACCTGAGACCCTGTCTTAAGAAAACTAAAAAAGCAAAAGCCAAACAAACAAAATTAACCACACTTTTAGTATGAGGATGAGAAAATAAACTTTATGCCAAGAATTTGTCCAGTCATGCAGAACTGAGCATGCAAGTAAGTCAGTTCAACAGAGTCAAATGAGGATAATGAATTGGTCTTTGATATGCATATGAAATATATAAAAATGGGATGTAGCCAGGAGTGGGGGCATACACCTTTAGTCCCAGCACTTGGGAGGCAGAGGCAGAGGCAGACAGATCTCTGTGAGGTTGAGGCCAGCTTAGGATACAGGGAGACTATAGGGAGACCCTGTCTCAAAAAGACCCCCCCCCAAAAAAATTGGATGAACACACAGAAATAAAAAGGCCAGATACTGGGGCTGGAGAGATGGCTCAGTGGTTAAGAATACTGGTTGTTCTTGCATACGACCCAGATTCAAATCTTAGCACCCACATGGCAGCTAACAACTGCCCATAACTCCAGTTCCAGGGGATCCAACAGCCTCTTCTGTCCTCAGCGGATATTGCACAACACGGGTGCACTTACCTACATGCAAACAATACACACATTCGCATAAAATAAAAATAATACATAAAATTTTTTTTAAAAGTCCACATACTTGATACTCATATAGCCCGAAGGATCTAACAATGAGAATACTTTCCACACCCTGGTCAAAACTCTGAGAAATCCTTCATGTGAATTTCTACTGCCTATAAACATGTTCCAGTCACTACAATGACCAGTTTTAGACATTCTTATTTGAAAAGAAAACTGTCCTATCATCCTAATTTGAAAACTATGAATCCTTAAATAACAATTAAAAGACAAGCAAAGGGGTTCATAAATGTATATTCAATGTCCACTCTCATGATCAATGAAGAGTACCTGTGGAACAGAGGCTCTAAAGCAAAGGATAACTCCTCATATCACGTATCTTTCAAGTTAAAATATATTTGTTAATTGCAAATTGCTTCCCTATTTTAATCTTTGTTTCTACTGAGCCTTCTCAACTTCAATACTATATACACTTTGAACTGGATAATTCTTTATCATGGGTGCTATCTTGTAAATTATATAACCAGTATTCCTGGCTTCTAAGAGAGAAAACACACACACACACACACACACACATGCACACACACAACTGTGACAACCAAAGGTGTCTATAGACATTGTCAAATGTCCCATGCTAAGACAAGATGGCTACTACTTGAAAAACCACTAACTTAAACCAACATCAAAGTGAAGTTGGCTTTTCTGCTGCACATTCCAGCTGGGAAGCAGGAAAAGTGATCTAAGAGTACATGAAGAAGCTGGCCTGGGACAAAGAAAATTTATTGCAGATAATCTGCAGTGTAGATAATCAACAAGTAATTCATGGAAATTAAATAGAGGGCTTGGAGCATCTTATTAGAGCTATTTGATGGACAGTGAGTGATTGAGGTTGATATAAATACCGGACATCATATAATCACCTTCCGGGCACCAGATCCTGGCCACTGAAGATCAAATCAAGTATTCCTTTTATAGAATGGTATGACTTGATACACAGTGTGAAACTCAGAGCATGCTTGTTTTTCAGTAGTTGACAGCTGGTCTTACAGAAAGACTGCCAGATACTCGGGCCTTGAAACCAATCTCAAAAAGCACTTTAGGCCTGAGAAGCTATAAAGATACTGACTAAGGAACTCAAGAAGTAATCACTTCTAATTTAATCATGAATTTGTTGACGTTTCTGCTGATTTTAGAAAATGTATGTTTTAGCTCATTTTATATGTCCATATATATTTTATGCCTTGAAATCTTTTTTTAACTTTTAAAAATTATTTTTACTTTACGTGTATGAGTGTATTACCAGCATGTAGGTAGGTGCACCCATGTCATGCAGTGCTTGCAGAGGTCAGAAGAGGGAATTAGATTTCTGGAACTGGAGTTATAAACAGTTGTTAGCCACCATGTGGGTGCTGGGAATTCAACCCAGGTCCTCTGCAAGAGCAGTCAGTGCTCTTAATCGCTGAGCCATCTCTCCAGCCCCCAAATCTTATTTTAATAAGAAAGTCTTTTGTTTTGGTTTTTGAGACAGGGTGTCATGTAGCCCAAGCTGGTTCAAACTCACTATGTAGCTAAAGATGCAGTTTAACATTCTTCTACTTGTAAGAAACATTAAATATTAGTCTTTTTTTTTCCAAACCCTGTAAAATTTGCAACTTGGTTTATGACAAGGAATTCTAATCTTTTTTTTTTTTTTTTGGTCTTTTTGAGACAGGGTCTCCTTGTAGCCCCAGCTGTCCTAGAACTCACTAAATAGAGCAGGCTGGCCTCAAACTCACAAAGTGACCTGCTTCTGCCTCCCAAATGCTGGGATTAAAGGCCTGTGCCAGGACACCAGGCGGAATTCTAATCTTTTAATCCCACCATTCCCTGTAAGACTTTTGTTTAAGGAAAGGCCCTGAGCATTCCTGAGCTTGATGGCCTGGGGCAATAAAATGTTTCTCCTTTAGTATGGATTCTTTGAAACAGGAAAAGACTGTGAGGTTGGACCCCAGCCAATGGGGAAAAGACATAGCACTCTTGCCTTTGGCAAAAAATTCTGCCAAGCTTCAGGGTCATGGTGCTTGCTAGAGCTAACAGACTGCATAAGACACCCTTTTGCAAAAGTAAAATCTGCCTTGCTGAGTTACTTTCACTTTGTCTGCCTGTACTTTGTATGATACCGATGGGGTCCTTGGACCTTGGATTTTATTTTTAACATATTTCAACCTTGAGTGCTGGGATTACAGTTTACAGCACAATGAAAAAGTCAGTCACTTAAATGATGACAACTCCAGGTTCATGAATTGCTACCACAAGACAGAAACCAGAGCTGGGAATAAAGATCAGTAGTAGAGCACTTGCCTAACAAGTATAGTCTCCAGCACTGAATCAAAGAAAGGAAAAGATGCAAATCTCTTCTTCCAGTTACTGCTTCCTCCAAGAATAATTGCTAGACCAGTCTTAACAGCATACATGACTTTTACTTGCTTTTGTATTTTATATGAGTGGAATAATTTAATGTGTACTGCTTTATGTGTGGTTTCCTTTGTTTGACATTCTTTTGTGAGATCCATCCAAGTTGTTGAGAATAACTAATTAGTTCTTTTCTCATTGCTATTTCTATTACAGTGAATTAATATACTGTAGTTAATTTCTTTATTATTAGGTGGCTCTTAGTTTGAGATTATTAAAAATAGTAATTTAAAAGGAGCCCCACAAACCCAAAAGATATGTTCTTCAGGAAAATATGTTGTCTATGTTTCTTCTTGTTATTCTGTGAATCATACTGACTGAGCCTGAGTATACTGTCTGCCCCATATGATGTATTTGTTTGTTTCTCTTATATAGGATCTCCCTATGCTGCTCAAGCTAGCCTTGAACTCATGAGTGGTACAGCTGTGGACTAAGGACTCAGTGGTAGAGCACTTAACACCTCATGTGCAAGACTCTAGGTTCCATCTCTAGCACTGCCAATAATTAATAATAATAATAATAATAATAATAAAAGTGGGGGGCTATGATCTATTTCATGTTACTCTATTTTATATCAGGTTCAACAATCATATTTGATTTTCATTAATATATTTCTATCTACTTCTTTCAGAGAAAAAGCTAGATTTCAGAGATATACTCAAGGGTACTTAAACCTAATTTATGCAACAACTTTATCAGTGTTTTAATGAAGACGTCAGAAAGGGTAGTCACTGGATATGCAACATGGTGTCCTGGTACATGGGAGGCACAGATTTGTTGAGTGAATGAGTAGCAAATGACTAAGTTTAGGCCAAAGTCAATATGATTAGTTTTAAAAAAAAAGTTAATCAAGAAAATATTGAGCAGTTTTACCCAAGCTCAGAAAACCAGAAAATGATGAGCTGGACCACAAGCGCATCTGAGTTTAAAGCGCTTGACTCCTTTCCTTCCTTCCACCCCCTCTTCTCTCTTCCTCTTCCTCCTTGATATAGGGTCTCATTCCCATACTGGCCTCCAACTCCCTAAATAGGTGAGAATAACCTTAAACTTCTTAACTTCTAAACTAGGTAGAATACACAGAGAAGAAAGGAAATTCTGTCATAAATAAGCATGTCTATGCTTAAGGGACAAAAGTCTGTTAAGTGCAAAATGGTATATTGGTAATGGCATTGGTAATAGCTACCATTCATATGTAAAAGACACCTGGGGGCTCTGGTGGGCCACAGTCTCTGCTGAGCCCTTGGTAAGCTACATTCCTAAAAAAAAAAAAAAAAAAAAAAAGTGCCTCCTGGGGACACATTAATCAACATATTAAATCAACAATTGTCCTATGCCAGCAGCTCTCACTTTTCTCTCCCTGAACTTGTTTTAGAATGTTAAGGATGCAGCTCCTCCTGCACTGCCCCCTGTGTTTACTATCACAAGAACTATTTGAAAGACAGAAACCACAAACAGAGCAAGACTTCAATTAAAAAAAAAAAACGTTATGTGGGTACGTGTGTGTGCGCGCGCGCGGGGCGGGGGCCTTGGCGTCGGGGGTAGAATTCCCAAGTGCCTGTACTTCTGCCCCTGTGGAGGCCAGAGGACTTCAGGTGTCCTGCTCTATCACTCTGTACCTAATTACCTTGAGACAGAGTCTCTGCCTGAATGTAGGACTCATTGTTTTGGCTAGACTTGGGAGGCAGGGGAGCAGGTAACTGCTTGTCACAGTGCTTGGTATACAGGCATAGGGCTCCACCCTGCTTTTGAACTGGGTGATAGGGATGAAATTCATCCTCATGCTCACAGCAAATGCTCTTACCCACTGAGCCATCTCCCCAGCTCTAAGCCATCAGTTTCACCCATTTTTACCTCTTTGCTTTAGGTCTATTTCTTGCTCTTGGACTGCTTCTTCCCCTAGAGAACTCTGGATTGCCCCTGACTTCTGATCTACCCTGACTTGGGAAGTGGCCATCAACTGTAGTTGCTCTTTACTGCAAAGATCCAACTCAACAAGATTTATTCTTACAATCACCCTGAAAATTCCGGACTGGATCAAGCCAGGGCCTCAAGTATTTGGAAAGAGGTTTGGTAAGTCTCAGTTCACTGTGGGATGGAACATTTTTTGTGTTTATGGGAGTCTCATTAAGACAGATAATAATTGAGGACAACTAAGGTGAAGAAATATCCAGAAAACATACATCATTTGATCTTAACCAAAAGACGGAGAAAGAATTTGTTGCTCCAGGAAAAGTTGAAGGAATCAGAGCATAACCTGGACCAAAAAAGGGCAATGGTATCTTAAGATATAATTATGTTCTAACTGAACAGCTGCTATGCAGAAGAGGGAATAAGAGACATCTCTTTTATAAATAGAAAATGTTAATAGGTAGAGGTTTTAACTAGAAAGAACTTAACTGTAAAAAGGCATATATCTATATCTATACCCATATATACATACATATATATATATATACACACATATATGTGTACAATTCAAATTCAAGTCACACCCAACTCAAACCAGTTTACACACCAAAGATAATATTCTATCTTTTTAAACCACAAAATTTAGGGCTGGAGAGATGGCTCAGTGGTTAAGAGCACTAGCTACTCTTGCAGAGGACCTGGATTTGATTCCCAGCCAACAGCCATCTGAAACTACAGTTCCATGGAATCTGATGCCCTCTTCTGACCTCCATGGGCATTGCACAAGACGGGTGCACTTACACACATGCAGGCAATACACTCATACACATAAAATAAAAAAATAAAAATTAATAAATAAGCTAAAACTTTTAAAGGAAGATTTTTTCCATACTTGAGGGTAAATTGGGTAAAGATACATAGAAGTAAGGCTGAAACACTCTCAAGTCATGTTAAATTAGCTCCAAATTTTGGACTGTTTTAGGGTTGATCTCTTGGAAGAGATTGGCTTTTTAAATGTTTTGAAGAATAGAATGATAGAATTTTCAGAAAAATAATGAAATATTTTCTGCACAATATTTCCCATGCATCTGGGATTGAGAGAACAAATAATAGCATGGCAAGAGGCTCTTTCTGACCAGCTGGAACAAGTGGTGTGCAGAAGAGAGAGGAGCAAGAAAGCTGAGACCTGCAGAACACTTGAGCTCCAGAACACTTGGTCTTATTCTAGATTTTAGGAAATTGATGAAACACATTAGGTCAAGATGCTTAAAATTTCTCAAAAGTTTATTTAAATGTAAAATGAAACCTACTTACCTGAGAAATAATTTTACTTTTTTTTTTTTTTGGTCTTTTTTGAGACAGGGTCTCCCTGTAGCCCCAGCTGTCCTGGAACTCACTGTGTAGACCAGGCTGGCCTTGAACTCAGAGAGATCAGCCTGCCTCTGCCTCCCGAGTGCTGGGACTAAAGGCATGTGCCACTATGCCTGGCTACATTATTATTATTA